CTATCTATCTACATATATATATGTATGTATATACATATATATATATGTGTGTGTGTGGATTCAAAGAGATATTTATTGATTAGCTTATGCGTCGTGTTGGGTTGCTTATGTACTTACGTTTCTGTGTCTGTACATATGTACTGATGTAGATCTGTTTATGAAATACCTATACAGAACAAGGGCCAAAGCGGTGCAGACCTCCGAATGGTCGAAGCTCTGCATCGCAGCCCAAGCCCTAGGCCCAGTACTTGGGCTTATAGGACTTCGGGCCTAGTGTGCCATGTTTAGGACGGTTCACGGTTCCACGTGCAGGGCTTAGGGTGCAGTGTTCCGTGTCAAGGGCTCAGGGCTTTAATCCACATCATGAAGTTCTAAACCACATCAACTGCATCCTGACATAAAAGCCCTTGACGCTAAAACCATCTAGTTCTAATCCCTCAAACAGCAAACCTTCCAAACCGCGAACCCCCAAATCCTAGCGCATTAGACCTACAGGTGTAATAAGGTCTCCTTATCCTGATCTCCTGTTATATTACCCTAACGACGAACCCTAGACGTGCACCGGCCCAGTGGCAGCCCCCTCGCACGCAAACTTCGCCTTCGATACCTGGGCAAAGCTCCTCCAGGCGCCACCTCGTTCTGGCTTAACTGTTTGGGGAGTTTGGGGTTTAGGATCTAGGGTTTGGGGTACACAGGGGCAGGGATACTGCAAGGCGCTTTAGGTTTAGGACGTCGAAAGTTTAAGCTTCGGGCCGCTGTGTGGCAAGTTTTGCAAAGTCTCGCTACAGAGAGCACAACTCGAAACCACCAACAGGTGTTATGATTATAATGATGAAATGGTATGATTGGTGATATAAACACTTATCAAGATATCATGCTGCCTGATACTAGTTTCTTCATAAGAACTGTTAACTGCTGGGTTCAAATAACTGCTTTGCTAACTAACTAATTAACTAACTGACTGACTGACTGACTGACTGACTGCCTGACTGACTAACAAACTATCTAACTAACTAACTAACTAGCTAGCTAGCTAGCTAGCTAGCTAGCTAGCTAGCTGACTAACTCACTAGCTAACCAACCAACTAACTAACTAACTAACTCAGTCAGCCTGACTAAGTAACTAACTAACTAACGAACGAACTAACTAACTAACTAACCTAACTAAGCTAAACAAACTAAACAAACTAAGCAAACAAACAAACAAACTAACTAACTAACTAAACAAACAAACAAATAACTAACTAACCAACCAACCAACTAACTAACTACCCACCAACTTACTGCCTAACCAACTAACCATCCAAAAAACTGACTAAGAGACTAACTAGCTAGCTGGCTGGCTGGCTGGCTAGCTAGCTAGCTAGCTAGCTAGCTAGCTAGCTAGCTAGCTAACTGACCAACTAAACCAAACTAAACCACCTCTAACTGTATGAAAAGCACGGCAGTGGCAAAGATACACAACTAATGACGAAAGCCTCGGCAGGACCCTGCAAACTGCACATACATGCAAAGCTTGCTGCACTTTCCAGCCAAGCCCATTGCGATGAGCGTTGAATGCCGGAGCCGGAGCTCCAAAGCAAGAGCTTCACAAACCCTGAAGCATGAACCCAACCCGTATTTCCCCTCAGAATCAACAAACTCCACGTAAACCTTTGCCCTGAGCTCGGGAGACCCTGAGCACCCGCAAGAGACCCAAACCCAAAAGCTTGCCGTCAAAGGGCAACCCATTTGACGTGCGAAGCGCTACAGCGGGCCCCGCTGCAACGCCGACGCCCTCCTGCGTACCGCTGAGGCCTCGATCAAGACACAGAAGGCCTGCCCCTAAGGCCTATCATGTATGTGTCCAAAGACCCTGAGGTGAACTCTAAAGCATGGATACATTGAATACTACCTTGAACCCAGAAGGCTTAGGGCCCAGGGATTACGATTGTTGTGATTTCGGAGTTGGGGGGGTTGAATTTATACAAACCCTAAACTATAGAGCAAGGCTCGCAGCAGACGAACTTTTCGAAGGGGAATCAGGTCCCCATGCTTGAGGACCGCACAAAATACTCCGCGGCCTTTGTGGATAAATATAGGGGCCTCAATGAGCCGAACAGGATTTATAGTTTGGAATTACTACTTCTCCCGAGCCTTATATTATCTGTTCGGCGGGGTTTCGGGCCGTAGACTTTCAGGTTCTAACCTAAAGTTTAGCTCAAATTTAAGAGTTTCGGACTCAATTTCGGACAGGACTCCCAGGCAGCGGCATTCGCAGCCCTAGTGTGGGCTTTCCCCAACATGCTAGACACCAACACGTATCAGAATCGAAACACATGCAGATTGCACATTTGTCATATTCTGAAGTACATTGCCATACTCAACCCTAAACCATGAACCCTAAAAGGCCCACTTTTGCATGTAGTAGTAGCATTGTGGAGCATGGAGCCTCGGAGGGGCGGTGAGGCAATCGGCATTGACTCCGTCATCGCATAAGTCCTCGGCAACATACGAACTCTTCCGAGCCAAGCCGGTTGCGGGTCTAGGCTTGCGTTTGTCTTCGTATTAGCTCCTCTTGCGTCAGATTCTCGAACCTTTTCCGCAAGAGGGGGGGGGTTAGATGTTGTCTTTGGCGAGGAGATGGCCGGGAGCAAGCTAAGTGAGAACTAGATGAAGGCAACAACTGCGATACATCCGAAACCCTGGCCCAGAGATACGTACCAACAGTCAGCTCGGCGTGCCTGTTCGAAGCTTCAGGTTGATTGCAGGTTTCTGGAGACGTTTTTCGGATCCACACCCAAGCCATCCCAAGCCCAAGTGCTAAGACACTCCCAAAGATGGTAACTGGTAATTTTGGCATAAACCTAAAGCGTGGATCCCACCAGCCGGCGCAAAGCTTAACCTCAAAAAACCAAAGCCCAAGACAAACAGCCGGGTTCGGTTTCAGCGCTCTGGGGATTCGGGGGCAAATTCTGTATTAAAACCATAGCCTGCAAAGGACATCTCAGCTGGCTATCTTCGAAACTGCACAGTCCGCAAGCAGCACCCGGACTTCTCCCTCAGGCACCCTGAACTCCTTGACCCTGAATCCCTACACCATAAAGTCGTATACACCTTTAGTGGAATCCCTGGTGCTCTGCCCAAGCCACTCAGCAGAACCTAACAAACCATTTGTGGGAGCCCCGCCCTGTTTGATGCTTCTTGAGGTATGGGTGGGCAAACCAGCCAGCAGTGGACGTGATGAATTCTGGATTCGGCGGTTCGGAGCTGCTTGTGGACCCGAGGTTAGGCTTTGGAACTTGAGTTTCGGGCTTGAGCTGTAGCTGCGTAGGCTTGCCTGCGGTGCTTTATGATTTTCTTGGAGTTTGGGGCTTCGTAATATTTGATAACTTCTCAGTGCGGTTTAAGGGCATTTCAGTGGCATTCATCACCGGATCGCTTGTGTGTTTTTTGTGAACCCGCAACATGAAACTCTCGACCGGGGCGCGGTAGCACCTCGGTTGCCATCTTCCTCTCCAACCTCACGGCACTTCTGAGGCCAGGGGTGTAAAGACTCGCGGAATCCGAAAAGACCGATTAGGGCCTGCCGAGGCTTCGCCATGTTCATCCCTGCGACTGTAAATCTCTGTTCGTTCTCACCCCGACATCCGAAATCTTGAAGCCTTGCGTGGAAGCCCGCAACAAGGCCTCGGGCTTTGATTTGGGACTTGGATGTACTGTTTAAAGTTCAGGGTTTTAGGATTTAGGGTTTAAACTTTAAGGTTCAGGGTGTCAGTTTTGATCGTCCTCGTCCTGAGCATATCAGAAGACCTACCTGCATTCATAAGACTGGCCCAGGCCCAGGCAATTCTATGACCCCCAACGAAAAAGGCTGTCAACCAGACTACGAATCAATACACCGTCCCTTTTTGTAAGAGCCTTTCACGAAAGTCCATAGTGTGTAAGCGGTGTCTATAATCAGGTCTGTTTGAACCAGTTTGAGGTTTACTGCTGTAAAGCACCAACCCAAACCCTCAAACCTAAACCCTCAATCCAAGAAATGCAAAATTCGGCTTCGCGACCTACATGGCATTATCACGGAGCTTCCTCAGTCACATAGCCTACACCCCAAGTCCCTGTAAATCCCAAGCTCCGATAAAGGGGTCGCATGATTAGTAATGCTATCCCCATACTGTCCCGGTATGTTGTACATGAATGTGCTATATTGCACCTTAGAGCCCGTTTCTCTTTTCCGAAACCTGGCAACTCCGTAGCCAACGAGGCAGGGAGGTGCGCAGAGCAATTCCGAATGATCCTGTCAATCTGCTTAAGGTTTACAGGAAAGTTTGGGAGTTTACATCTTTAGGGTGTAGTGTGTATGGGTCGAAACGTGGGCAGTCTTCAGCCTGTGGTCGAGATCGGCGGGAGTCCCAGCAATAGTGATCCTATGTTGTTTGTGAATTGCATCCTTTGGGGGCCCACTTAAGCAGGAGTAGCCGTACCCCGGGGATACGCGTACCTTGGGGGTCGGGCCAGGTCCGATGGCGACTGGGGTCGTGCGGGAAGGCTATGTGGAAACTCATATTGGCAACATGTGTCGTGAGATGGTTGCAAACAAAGAAAAGCCACAGCCAGGTTATTTCTGCTTGCACAAACCCTTGAGTCAATTCTGGCGTCATAGTGTCGGGGTGTCGAATTTCGAGGCTGCCACAGTGGAACATAGTGGAACATGGTCTTGTTTGGCAGTCTTAAGCAAAGCAAAATCTTTGCTCAGCGGGTTCAAGACTTGAGGTTCATGGCATGTTTTGTATAAGTTTCCTGGGTTGAAGCATCAGAAAAACCTGTGCGTTTAGAGTGTTGAAACCGAAGCAGAAGTATTCTCTCATGTGCACGATACTTGTGTTTCACTGAGGGGAGCCTGCTGATGAGCAGGGCCCTTCAGGAGCTAACTTATGCACAGGTCTGTCGGCGACAGACAAAAGTTAATTACTGACTATATCCATGAGCAGCAGAGAACCAGTCAAGCACCACGATTTCGCACTGGGAGCCGTCTGAGCTGTCCGCAGCTCCCAAATCCCAGCTCAGGAGTTCCAGACCTCGTTCGACGTGGTAAGATCCTTTCGGTCCGTCTGAACCAGACAGTTTTGGGGGACGTCCAGCCCACTTCTCACCCGGTCTGTCTCGCCCTTGAAGAGGATGGCATCATTGCCTGGGCTGCCACTGTGTCGTGCGAACGACGGCTGACATCCGCCAGCTTCTCGTCTGCCATCATGGAAACCGTTTTTGTCATCGCTGTAAACCGGCCCTGCGTTGCATGAACGTGCTCCTTGAAATTCACATCCTTCGCCCCTTCAACGCCAGCGTCTTGCTGCCGCCAACTGCATTGAACCACAACGGCTTCTGGTCGTACGCGCGGAAGTGGAGCTTGCCAGCCGCTCCGAAAACGCAGTGTTGAAGGGCTCTCAGGCGGATGACATTCCGCCACAACACACCAAGCCTTTCCTTCAGCTTCTGGCGTGGGACTTTGTAAGCCACCGTGCGACTCCGCCATGAGATCCTGTATTGCTTGCGCCATCGCTGGATGAAGGAAACGTCGATCTTCGGAAGCCGCTCATGGCCGTCTTGCACCACAGCGCCATCTCCGGCAGCGCGGTATAACCGCAGAGAGCATGCCATGGCCGAGCACCTGCTCGCTTGCATTGACATAGGCTTGAAATGCATCGATCCAGAGCTGCAAGTGCTCCACACCGATGACCTTGCTGAAGTTGTAGCACGCAGTTTTAAATTCTTCCGTGAACCGGCCAGACAGGTGCACCTGGCGACAAAACTGCCCACTAGCCTAAAGGGCCGAGTCTTTGGTCACATCCTGCAAATCGTGGCCCAGGGCACAACCACGTGCCTTCCTGGCCAGCACAAGCACAGCTTACTAGCCTACAAAACGTGGCCCAAGGCACAACCACGTTCCTTCCTGGCCAGCATAAGCACAGCTTACTCGCCTAAAGGGCAGAGTCTTTGGTCACATCTTTAGAAAACGTGGCCCACGGTCAGCATCATCGCCCTGGTCCCGGCTTCTTCAGCGAACATGGTGTTCTGCACCGACTTGATTCGGGAAAAACCATGAAAATGATCTCTAATGAACCTCAAACTGACCTCAAAATAAACGCAAATCAAAAGTTTAAAGTACTTAAACTTATCTTTCCCACAAACTCAAAGCAAGCTATAACCGGCGGGACGGAGCCCTGAGAGAACTTGAGAGGCTTTCTCCTGCAGCGTACGACATGCCATACGTGGCTTTGAGGAGACAGCCCGCGAATCATGTTTGCTGCCACCGGGTCGTGTGCAAGTCGTAGCTGCAAGCGCTGATCCATGAGAACATCTCGTCGCATGCCCTCAAGCGCTTGAGGAAACACCATAGTAGAGTCGTGGCTGGCGCACATGGCAAAGAGTGTGCACCCCAAGGCGTAAGCATCACCATCCGGAATGGCCGGCACAGCACGGTCTGTGCAAAACTCGTCTGCACGAAATCCAGCCGTAAAGCAAGCATTTCCTTGAACCCGCGTGCCAGCCAAAATCGCTGAGCACTGCCGCGCCATTGTTCTTGATCACCACTCTGTGCGGCTTCCATGCATGACCGTCTGCGCAAGGAGATACGCAAAGCCTCGAGCCACATGAAAGACCAGCTTCCACCGAACGGGACTGAAGTCCAGGATAATGTGACTCTTGAGATAATCCTGGAGCGACTCTGAGCACTTCTCCAACAACAATCTCATGCTGCCATCATACGCAAGCAGTGCAAAGCATGACAACACGTTGGGATGGTGAAGCTTCCTGAACATTTCGAAACAAGCTTCTTTGTAGGCCGGACACAGCCCTCGTAAACCACAAGTTTCTTACCCAGCCTAAGCCTCAACTCGAAGACACTAAACCCTAAAATCCTGAACCCGGAAACATCAAACCTGAAACTCTGCCCTATAGCCCTCGTAAAGCACACAAAGCGATGGAAGAAGACCTCGAAAAAAAAACTCACAGCAAAGCCCAGTCACTGCAGAACGGCACACTCATTGGCCACGGCATGCATGCCCGTCGGAGTGAAATGTCCCAGCTTGAACGCATACTCGGCTTTCGCCGGAAACTTTCGCCTGGGAGTGGCACAAGTACATGGTGCCGTAGGCACCACGTCTCAAGGAGATTGCCAGCTTCAAAACCGTGCAGTCCCACTGCAACGGCATTCCTGGCAAAGCCGGGTCAGCGGCTGGCTGTGGCTCCTCCTCGGAAACCTCGTTTGCTCTCTGCTGCAGCTGCTGCCAGCGAGTGCACTTTGCCTTGTTCTCTTGAGCGGCCTTATTCGACTGCTCCTTGAAGACCTCCTGACCCCCACGCTCCTCCATGAACGCCCATCTCGTTTAGCAGCCCTCTCTGGAATTGATCGGTGTTTGCCATGGACACGCATACGGCTGTCAGGCTTCACACTCCTTGTGTCGAGACCCGAACAAAGCGTAAGCAGAAGGAAGCTTCCTCAGGCCCAGGGCTTTGTTCGAAGCCATGGCACAGGCTTCCGCGCAGGTCTTCCCGTTGTCCTAGTGCTCCGAGCCACTTCTGCATGCAGTCCACCAAGAACTCCAGACTGCACAGTTCTCAAAGCTACGTGTCAGCACTGCACTTCTCAAAGCTGCGCGGGCTTAGGGTTTAGGGTTTGGCATTGCACTTCTCAAAGCTGCGTGGACCTTCGAGGAGCCACTGCACTTCTCAAAGTTGCGTGGGCTTGGGGCTTAGGGTTTAAAATTTGGCACTGCACTTCTCAAAGCTGTGTGGGCCTTCGAAGAGCCATCTGCGAGCACGGCTACAGCGTATGTGCGAATGCTCGGTTGTGCAGAGCAGCCTCGATGCTTCGCTGTGTCAACAACTGTGCCCTTCAGTGATTATTTGTTCTGAGTCGTCTGGAAGCAGTTGGAGCCAAGACGGAAACCGCTTCCGCAACAAACTGACATGCTGCAGCGGCACCTATTCAGCAAATGCGAAAACACCACACTGCGATTTCCGAGCTTGGAGTTTCGGAAGACTCCAGGTCCAAGGTTGGAATTTGTCAAGATTCCTGCCAATTATTAAGGTTTTAACGTTATATAGGCCGGGCTATGGAGGAGACTTCCCGCTAGTATATATAATGTGTGAATCACAAGCCTGCGTGGCTGAGGGACCCGACAGTGGTCCTGAAAGCCGTCTGTAGTGTGGCTGCGCCTGAATGCTTCAGAAGCTGTGCATGACGATGCGCTAGAACTAAGTTCTGAGTCTGGTCCAATTGTGCGGCAATCGACAAACCGATTCTCATTGCGCAACTGCAACCATCATCCCATGCAAAGACAACTTGAGCGACTGCGGCCATGTGATGAGCAGAGCGGGAGGCGGGCGGAAGGCACCTGGTCCAGAGAAGAACTAGGCATAGGTTAGGAAGATAATGTCCACCAATGCAGAACGACGAGGGATGAACAACGAGTAAGTCTTATCGGGCTGAACTACAGGTGGCCCCTCAATAAGAACCTCCGAAATGCGCTCTAGACAACATCAGGTAACACTCTATTAGTCCACCTCCGTTCCAATGACAGCCGTCTTGTTCAATCACAACATCAAATACCAGTAATACACAACAATCCATAGAATCTTGCCAATGTCCATGCGGGGTGCTTGCTTGAATGCTTACTTGTTACTACAACTTAACCAACCTCAAACCTTAATACCCAATAACTACACCGAGAGGCAAAATACACCTAGCAGTCATGCTGTTAAAGATAGGGGAAAACTTCAATTACTCTCGTTTCAGGGTAAGCTTGGAACAACGCCTAAAAGGTACGGCTATCCCCGGCGTACAGCGATCCCTGCTCAAGTGGGCTCGTGATCCTCTGTCTGTCAAGCTACGGACTAATTTCGAAGGCCACTATAACTCCGAACTGAAAGCCTTGAGCTGCGAACTCCACAGGCAGTCAGCCCTACACACAAGACTGCTACGCTCAAGGCCCTGAATCCTGAATCCGGAGTCATTTCCAAGAATCGTAGCCAGAGGGGTTACGGATATGAGATGTTTCGGCAGGAGTTGATAGTTGTTGAGCTGCCACTAAGCCACTAAGCATATGCCGCGTGTGTCCATGGGTCTACTGTCATCTCTCTGGGGTGTAAGGAGAGCTCTGAAGGCTTCGAGGTTTGAACACGGAAGGGACAGATGAAGCTTGATGAAGCACTTCTATCCGGACCTGCGAACTAGCCGCACACAAAACCCTCGTCTGTCGAGCAACGAAGTCCTGAGGCTCTCGTAGGAGGCGCCGATGGGCAAGGATTCCAGAATTGCATGGTGTGCAGAAGGCACCGCAGAGTAGACGGAGATGCCTCCGGCACGCGAAAGACTACGAACAAGAACGATAACATGCGGCAATTAGGGGCCAAAATATTCAGAGTAGGGTTTTGGTGTAAACTATAGCGTGCCTTTAAAAGTATTACGTAATGCTCAAGATAACGACAACAATTTAGGAATGCCGGTGATGCACTGATAAGATCTGACGAGTGCGCCCTAGCCCTAAACCCGAAGTCCTTAGTTCCGAAACCTCTCAAGCCTGCTAATTACCCTGAACCCGCCTTTTCCAGCTGAAAGCTTCTAGGACAGTTAAGTCCGGCAAGGGGCGAAGCTCGGCAAGTGCGTCAGTATTGACATCCTAGCGCATTTCAGAGTTTAAAAAGGCCGACGTGGAACGTCAAATTTGTGGCAACGGCTATGCGGGAACTGCGCTAAGCTCCCAGGCTAATTTACGGGCGAAACCCTGAGCCCAACACCCTGAGCTGCACATAATTACCCTGAACCACGAACCCTGAAGCCCTCCTAATCATAAAACTGGTTCACCCCAAAATACTCCCCCAAATGAGTTACATTTGGGGACTGGACTGATGCAGACCCCTGAGCACGAAGCCACAAAGAACCACGTTGGCCTTCCCCTAGCTGCTTGGCCGCAGCGTTCGCATCGAAGCTGGGTAGGCAAACGGCCACAGACCCAGCCATGGCGGGAACAAGCCTTGGATGACGGTACAAAGGGGCTTCCAAGGTCAGAGGAAGTGGAACCTGCCAGCAGCCAGCCATCCCACTTATGCAGTAGTAACTAGGCAGAACATGGCTCTAAGCTGACAGCTGTTAAGTTGTTAAGCAACTGGAGCCGCGGGTTGTCATTGAAGCTGGAATTAATCTTAGACCATGAACGAGCATATGCAGCAGCAACTCTGTTTGCAACATGGCCCGTAATACCCAGCGATTTTATGCTGGATACTTTGAGATAAAGAGCACTGGCCTACCTTACTACACCGGTAGGTTGTTGCCAGCAACCTGCGAAGCTGAACTCCGACACCCTCTAGCTTTGCAGATGGCTGAAGTCGGAATAGAGTATCCTAGATATTCGGCACAACAGACCAGACGACTGCACATCATAACAGGTATGGAGGTCATGCACAGGAGCACGATTTCTATTTACAATCTCTGCTTGAACAAAACTGATCCCAAGCGCCACAGCAGGGAATCGGACGCACAAAGTAAGCTTCTGAGATCTAAGCCTTTGCCTCTTGGCTAGACATTCCGGGCATCACGAGGTTTGAGTCACGTCCGCCCCTTCCCATGCGGTGGAAGCCGCACATTCACCACCAGTCCGTGAATATGAAACAGCGGCAGGCAGTTCATCACCACGTCACCTGAGCATGGGGGCTGTCCGGTCCTAACCCTCGAGGGCGACCTCAACTTGCACACTCCGACTTCCGGTGCACTTTGTAGCTTAAGCCGGAGAGTTTACCGTCGAAGGACTTTCAGGGTTCTAACTCGTGCCAACCGGCGGAAGAAAAACAACTCCTGGCAACTAAAGATGCCCCAGGAAGCGCCCTGCAACCAGGGTAAGGAAACCGCACATGCAATTTATTTACAGGGCCGAGAACCCAAATAGCTCACAGCCGGAGACGAGAAAATCGCTAAAGATTCCGAGTTTAGAGTCTAAACGGAAAGAGCCAAAATTCCTGCAAGTCAGCCCCACAAACCTTAGCACCACAGGCACGTACAAACAACCTCCAAACCTCCAACCCTAAACCCAAGCACAGGACGAAATAACTATTCAGGCCCCAATGCTACCAGCATGCTCGGACCAAGTTGAAGGGTAGAGGCGATGCAGATAGAACCGCTGCATAGATTCCTTGATGGTGAGGCTGCTACAAGTACCGGAAAGAAACTCAAGGGGTGCCAGGGTGTCAGGGTGTTCTTCTTTGAGGGCCCCTGTCCGGTTGTCTGCTTTTTTGGAACCCGGGTGGGGTTAGGCTCAGGGGGCACGCGGTCACGCGGTCTGCTCGAAAAACAGTACGTAAGGTTCCAGAAGTTTTGAGACCAAGAACGACGGGTGTCATCCGGTGTCTTGAGAGCCTTGAGGGTGCATCCACCTTCAATTCGCTACAAGCACGGGGGGCCTTTCAACTCGAACAGTCTTGGAGTACATTCCACAACAACCATGCAAGATATACAAGCACGGGATATTATGGCAACCCTCAAGATGTATGCTCCTTACTTTTAGCGTTCCAGTGCACCTTGAACGAATCGCCAATGTGTCCGAGGCACGCGTGGGTGAGAGGTACCAGCTTAGGCCTGGCAATGAGAATCGGGGAGGCGGGAGATTCAGACTGTAAGGTTTACCTGTAGCCGGGAAAACAGTAATATGAATACATATCATTACATATATATATATATATCTTTCGCTTTTCGGGGCTATGGGTCCAGGTTGGACGCAGCCTTATGCTTGCATCAAATTAAAAGGAGTGAAACGAAAGAGGCGTTGCCTTCTAGCCGAAAATTCGAAACAATGACTCCACGTTGCAGCGGCAATGCAAACGGAGCGGCTTTTCGAATAGCCTCAACAGAGGGGCAAGTGACAGCAGGAAGGTAAAGGCAGGCAGGGACGCAGCTCTCCCAAAGAAAGAGCGCACTGCGAAGGAGGTCGGAAAAGAGGCGGAGCGAGCGAAGTGGCTCGTCAACAGACTTGTAGGACCTCAAGGGAAGGGGCAAGTCAAGGCCAGTGAGGAGTCCATCACACGAGAGAAAGACGCAGCTGCCGA